AAAGCCCTTCGTCCTTTGATCTGTGAATTCTATACCGAAATAAAACAATTATTGCTTTCCCAATAAGATGTCTCCGTTTGCCACTGACAGAGAGAAAGCGGACGGACCCAGTAAGCCCTGCAATCGTCTTTAAATAACCAAGGGGAGAGATCAAAATAAAAATAAATCTTGACCAGATTTATAGGTGCACTTTGATTAGGTCTTATTTTTCCCTTCAAATAAACAATACCTGCAAAAAATGAAAGGCGGATGTTGAGGCCAGATATCTCGTAACAGATGGGTTTTCGCTGACATAGAGTGGGGGATGATTCCGAAAAAATAATGCCGGCCCATCATTCTGAGGCTTACCAGCAACATAGAACAAGAAATGGGGGCTTTTTTTCAGGAGGCGGATTGGTGTAAACACTCAGATTTGAAGCAACTATCATTTTTTAAGTGTAAGTTCTGGAAGTTTCGTTATATTGTAGCCTTGGCTGTCCCTCCACGCAATTGTTTCGCTGCTTCAGCTGGTAACAATTTTTTGACTCAAAAACTCTGACCTTAAAATCAAATGTCATTCATTCAGATACCATTCTGGTGCTGGCTCTTGGAAAGACACATCTGATGAGAACTGAATGATAAACAGTGTCTATGGCTGGAACTGGTCGCCCACTAAGCCATTTTTGCGCACCACATCGTTAGCAGAAACAGCGATCGGGAAAACTGAAGCTTCTTATTTTTCAAAGAGTGAAAGTCTCATGTTCCTCCATACACCGCCCTTTTAATAAAAACGTCCTTTTCCTCAGGAACGCATCTGGCTAGTGGACTCAAAATACCTGTTAAAGGAGAGACGGTCCCCATCAAAGCTGCTGAAATCTGATTGCATTTCAGAGTCTAGAACTAATGTTGTTTTTTGTTTAAATAGATTTGGTCTGTCAATTTCCAGACCCGCTGTGCCATCGGCCTGTATGGACTGCTGTGGCCAACACAGGGGTTGTAGCGGCAAATTTTATTATGGACTGGTAATTGAATTGAACAGGTTTACATTTGAATAGATTTACTACATCATGATCTCTGACATACTGCGTGGACTGAAATCCCTCTCCATCCATAAAGATACATTTAAGACGGCATCATTCTCTCCGGGCTGAGAGGAGACTGTTGAGCCAAGGAGATGGCCGGGTGTAATTCTGCATTTATATGCGGGGTGTAATGCTGTGTGTCACTGCGTGTTTTTAAGTACAAAAGAAAAAGAACATTCTATGTTGACTCATAACCATCCTATCCTTTCTCTTTGGGGCAAGGGCCTTGGAGAACGGGTATTTGCCCATCAAAGTGGGCAGGAGGGGTGGAGGAAAAGTAATTAGTACATGAATAGATCAGCCGAGCAGCAGTTTCGCTGAAAACAGACCCTTGAAAGGCTTGATCACAGCATCTGAAGAGGTTTGAGGTGAGCATCAGCCCCATCACCTTTCACCAACAACGTTTAATTAAACAGTGTTCACAGCTCTTCAGTTACTCTAAACACCCTTCAAGGTTGCTCCTGCTCAGAAGCCACAAGGGGGAACATTATTTAGGGGAAACATTTTTTTTTTTTCCTACTTCCTCCTTAAACCTGGAAGAGCACACGGCCGCAAAAATGATAGTAGTAAAATCAAACTGATCAAAGAGGGTCTATCTGCCTGAGAATGGAGGCATATCTCAATGCACCCCGGATTCGGGAAATCAAGTCGAAACCTAGAACACATTGATGCAAAGCTTGTTCATGAATATATTACTTTTATAACATTTATTTTAAAAATTGATTTCCTTTTAGAAATGAAGGATTTCTCGACTCCCCCCTCTTTTTGAAAAATATGTTTTTATTGATTATTTAGAGAAAGAGGAAGGGAGAGAGAGAGAGAAACATTGACGCGAGAGAAATATCGACTTGCTGCCTCCTGCACGCCCCCTACTGGGGATGGAGCCCACAACCAGGGCATGTGCCCTGACTTGAACTGGAACCTTTCAGTCCACGGGATGATGCTCAATCCACTGAGCCACACCAGCCAGGCTCAGCTCCTACCTCTTAAATAAGCCTTTTGAAACGAGCATACTTTTGTATTGGTGTCTACACCTCAAAGAAATGACACAATAAAAACAAACATTAACTGTCCGTCGTTTACCTTGATATGCTGAATTAGGTTTTGTTTCTTACACGGATATGGGTTTTAAGGCAATTAAAACCTATCGAATGAAGATGATGTTTTTCAACTCAAAAGAAAAGCACGCTATTGCCACCATCCTAAGGAGAGCCCTTTGCCCTGTGGGCGGGGTCCTTACCACTGGGCTTGCACTTGGATGTTCTCCTTTGCACAACTGTCCTCTGGGTGTTTGCACAGGAGCTGTCTCCAGCCAGAGACATCTGCCTGTCTTCTCCCCTGTTCCGTCACTGGAGCCTAGGACAGTGCCTGGCACCCGGGAGAAGCTTAGTGAAGAGTCAGCAAATAGATTATTAATGTAAAACATGTTAACTGTGAAAAATCCTGACAGGACCAAAGGCTATATAGACAGTGAAAGAGAGTACATATTCCCCAATCCTTTTTATTCAAGAGTGTAACACTACCACCTACTGCTGTTGAAGTATCCATCAACTTTTACCAATTTTTCTCCTCTCTCTCTCTTCCCCTCTCTCTCTCTCTCTCTCTCTCTCTCTCTCTCTATATATATATATATATATATATATATATATCCTCACCTGAGGACATTTTTCCATTTTTTGTTCAGATAGAGTGAGAGGGAGAGAGAGAGAGAGAAACATCGATGTGAAAGGGACACATCGAGTGGCTGCCACCCACACGACCAACCAGGGCCGGGGACAAACTGCAACTGAGGTACGCGCCCCTAGTGGGAACTGAACCCGGGTCTCTCTGGACCACAGGCCGACGCTCTAACTGCTGAGCCAAACCAGCCAGGGCTCTCTCTATATATTTTAATAATTCATATTAAAATATACATTTAAATAAAAAAATTTAATATAATTTTATATAAAATATAATCAGATCAATTACATCATACTAATAGATCATTTGTTTATTTTAATTTTTTTTACTTGGCAATATATTTTGGTCATCTTTTCTGAAGGGTTTAATTATAAAGTTATACACTTGGTTTTTGTTTTTGTTAGTTTTATCCTCACTGGAGGACTTTTTTTTTTTTTTTCCATTTATCTTCAGATAGAGTGGGGGAGAGAGGGAGAGAGAAACATCGATGTGAGAGGGACACATCGACTAGTTGCCTCCCGCACGACCCCGACCAGAGCCAGGGACGAATCGCAACCAAAGTACATGCCCTTGACCGGTATGGTACCTTTGAATCTTTGGTCCACAGACACTCTAACCATTGAGCAAACTGGCCAGGGCTACACTTGTTTTTGTTTTTTTAAATAATTTATTTTTGTTACAGATGTTTCTCCTTTTCCCCCCACTGATTCCCCCTCCCCCTCCCTCCCTGCCCTGCCCCCAGCTTTGTTGTCCATGTCCAGTGTTCATGCACACATGCATATAAGTTCTGTGGTTGATCTCTCCCCCATACACTTGTTTTTTTACAGCTGTTTTCCAGCTGAAGAGAAGAGGAAGAATTTGAGAGAGACTTCTGAGCTCCTACCGAGGAAGGCGTCTGTTACGGGTGGACAAGCAGCAGAGAAATGGCATGAACCCCACTTCCTCAGATCTGATCTGATCCGCTTAACCTTCCTATCAAACAAACTGTTCACAGTAAAAATCTTGGACGGAAACAAACCAGGCAAAGTGCTGAGGTTGGTAACACCACACCTAACTGAAGCTCTGACTCGTTCTTGGGGCGCAGACTTGGACCCCTTTCCATCGGGAAGTTAAAAGCCAGTCAGCTCCAGGACCAACAGCACAGACGAACCCCAAGAGCCAGCCCCGGGCACAGGGCACAGTCAAAGGCTACACGGCAGCCACATGTTTCAATAGGGAAGCAGCCAAACCTTCTTGCAAACGCCAGGGACCACATTTTCATTTTGCTACTTTATAAAATTATCATATTTTTTCTAAATTCTGGAGAGTTTTCTGAAGAGAAGGAGATCGAATAACCTAAACGCAGTATGTCAAATGCACATTTATGAGGCACAGGCATGAACAAAGATACACTTTAAAAAAAAAAAAAAAAAAAGCTAAATCTAGGGCTTCCAAAAAAAAAGAAAAGGTATTTGTCTCGGAGCTAAAATGTTGGTTTCACCATATATGCTGAGATACACAAATATTCCAGGACCGTTGATATGGGTGGAGCGGAGTGAATTTTAGAATCTGAATGCCTGCTTCCAGCCCCAGCGGCGGGAGCCAGGCCAATCTCTTTAGCTCAGAATACACACTCATGCTTATTATTTTACGTTTGTTGCTGTGACACCCCCCCCAATTGAGAGAGCAACAATTTTAATATCATTATTACACGCTCTTTATGATAGAAAAATCAATCCAAAAGGTAAGATTAGAAGAGAATAAAGAGTGCTTTAAATCTAAGATTAATTAAGCAGAAAGGAAATGATAACTCTATGAAGTGAGGGATGTGTTCATTACCTACACGGTAGCTACTGTTTTAAAAATACATATATATCAAAACACCAATTCATGCACATTAAACATATACTTCGTCAGTGATACTTCAGGAAAAGCGGGAGGAAATCGCTCTGTGAACCTAGTCCAGGGAAGAAATGCAGACAGACAGTAGCAGTAGCCTCCTGGTTGTTCTTCATTCTCTGCCTCTGGAAGTCAGAAGGATGGAAAGAAGCCCAAGGGCCGAACGTACCTGGTGGGTGGAGCCGCACATCAGCTGAGCCCTACCCGGCCCCTTCCTGGGGACCGACCGGTTAGCCACGGGAAGGTCAGAGAAAGGAGGGGCAGGCCGCCCTCAGGTGTAGGGTACCTGCTGGGACCCCATCTCTTCCTGGTTCCTCTAACAGTGTCGCAATCCCTTGGCACCCCACCCTGCTCCCAGCCGAAGCTGGCAAGGGGCCTTACCTTCCTTCAGCATGCCCACTTTTAAACACTTCATGAAGCGGCACGCTTGGCAGGATTTGCGCCGACGCTTTGTGATTTCGCATTCGTTCGTAGCAGGACAGCTGTATTCGATGTTACCTGGAACACAGGGTGGAAGGAAAGGGACTGTGAGATGGGCCAGACCCGGCAACCGCGGCCTCCCAAAGGCAAGGCCGACCCTGTGATTCCTGCCCCTACTTTCGGAAAAAAAAAACAAAAAAAAGGAGGGGACACATGGGCTTCATGAAGACGTGACAAGTGTCATGAGGCTGGATGGTCTGCCACACCCGTGGAGATGCACTGAGCAATGATAAGTTTTCTGGTGAAAGTTCTTTAAAAAAAATTCCCTTTAAAGTTAGCCTTTAAGCCCTGGCCGGTTTGGCTCAGTGGTTAGAGCGTCGGCCCGTGAACCGGAGAGTTCTGTGTTCGGTTCCCGCCAAGGGCACGTATCTCGGTTGCAGTTTGTCCCCAGCCCTGGTTGGGGTTGTGTGGGTGACAGCCACTCGATGTGTCTCTCTCACATCAATGTTTCTCTCTCTCTCTTCCTCCCTCTTTCCCTCCTGCTCTATCTGAAGATAAATGCAAACATGTCCTCGGGTGAGGATAAAAAAATAAAATTAGCCTTTAAACCAGGATGCGTGGTTCACCCAGGCCATGGCCCAGTCTCCCTGGGTCTTTGGATCTGAAAGAAATTTCGAGGCGGATTATTTCCAAAACACTACAAAACTCAAAACTGTCTTCTTATATCATCAAGCCTAGATTTCTTTTCTTTTATTATTTTTATTAAAGACTTTTCATGTTGACGCAATTGCAGGTGTCCCCCACTTCTCCCCCTCCCCGCCTCGCTCCCCCTTGGCCTTCCCCACACTACTGTCCCTGTCCATGCGTGTGCATACATGTCCTTTAGCTCACGCTGGATTGCGTTTGGTGCGAATGCTGGGATGCTTCAGGTTTACTTTCTTTCTGATGTAAAGTATCAGCAGGCTAATTTGGGTCCTCACAGGAAGCTTCTACAGAGCAATGACTGAAGTGACGCTAACCACAGTCCCCCAGAAGAACCCGGTAAACGCTTCCTATTGCTACATAGTGTTGGTCGCCATCATCATCATCGTCGTCGTCGTCACCACCGTCGTCATGCTTGTGATACCACGTGCGTAATGAAATCCAAAGACGCCAGCCCCGTCGAAGTGTTAGAAGTAAGAATACACCGCGATGAAATTGCATTTCATGGGAGAGGTTCATCCCTCGCAGTCGGACCCCCGCATTTGAAATGACACGCAAGCAGAAGATCCCAACTGGATCTTGAAATTTTTTTTTTTAATCAATTAGTGGCAAGGGCCGCGTAGGGGAAGTGCCCGGTCCTGCCTACAGCTTTGTAAAGAAGCTGCCTTTAAAATCGAGCCTCTCTCCCCATCAACTCGGTCACATAGCCCTGGAAGGTCTTCTGCTCCTTCCTAACCCTTTCCCCTTGTGATTAAGTGCATCAGTATCTTAATGAAAATGCATTCTGTTTATTGCCCTCTTGGGAAGGGGGAGGTCATCACACCAAATGCATAAATTGTCATCAGAGACGGTCCGAGCATAATTGCAATTTTGCTGCTCCGTGTTGGCAATGCCCAGGGTCTGTCCGAGTCCCCGGAAACATGCGCAGAGTCTAGTAATTAGCATGGAGTCTGCCTGGGACCGCGGCATTGATGAAATATTTCAGAGTTAATCACACTTTGTAAACACTGATTTATATTGACTACCTTTCTCCAGACTGATGTCTCCTCAGTAAATATCACATTAGTGGATTGCAGGATTGTACAGGCTCAAATCCTCAGCCACTGCTAATTCAACAGGAAGTAATACCTAACCACGTCTAACCACTGAAAATTGGTTCAGTATGCATGACTTGAAAAGAGAGGGGTGCATTATAGCTTGAGATAAGCCTATCCAAATAGTCTGACTAAATTAGCATTCTAATTCAGAGTATTTATAATAATAAAAGCCACTACTTTTTTTTTTACCTAAGAGGTTAAGTAATAAGAGTAATATAATTGCATCCACAGAAACAGACCCCATCACCGTCTTCAGAAATACCACTGATGCTACAGTCAAAGAAAATCAAGGGTACGTACAAGGAACCAGACTGGCCGGGTCATGTCTGAGAATAAAGGGATTTAGAATATGAACTATAAATAAACCGTTGCTCACTGCAGAGTTTCTTTCACCATCACTGAAAATTTATTTGGCATCAAGAGAGTGTTGCAAGTTATTTCCTAGGGGTTAATTAGTAGTTACTACCTTTCATCCTCATGGCCCTTCCTATCCTTGTTAAAAACAACACAAAACAAAACAAAAACAAATCTGCTTTCTTAGGTAGAGCTCAACAAGAACTAGTGAGAAAGGAAAAGAAAAAAAGAAAGTTTCCAAACAGCATTTCTTTCCTTTTCAATGCCTGAACAGTCGGGATGAAGACAAACTGTGCTCATTTTCCAGTACCGAGGTATGAGCGCCAGTCCGTGTTGGAAACTTCTCCTGGAATGATCTACCATCTGCCCCCCTCCCCCACTCTCCAAAGGATTCTCTTTCCTTTCAAGCTCATTCCTCTTTCGCTTTGGAAAGTATACCCTCATCCTTCACAATGGCAACACTTCCGACCGGAACCTAGATCAAGCGTGTGTGAGCTCATCGTTATCATCAGCGATCCAAACTGGGCATTTTGCCTCCATTGGGTCCCCATCTAATCCATGCTGCATACCTCTATCAGAGTCCTGTTCCTACGACTGCTTTGATCACTCACCACCCTAATTTTTTTAGAAGTCAATAGATTCCTCTGGCCTCCTAGGTTAAATATATAATACGAGACTTGCCAACAAAGTCCCCGCCCATCCAATGCTCATCTGATTTCCCAGCGACATAACAATTATTGTCTCACGTGAACTTCCCGGTGCAGCCAACTTGATTTATGCTTTTTGGCTCTGTCTTTCAGGCTGCCCTCCGAGAACGAGCTAGCTGGGCCCCTCTTTCCTTCTGAACACGACTTGTAAGTCTCAATGTTCAACTCGAATGTCTGTCAACTCTGTCATGAAAATGTCTCAGCCCATCCCAGCGGAACACGATGTCTTGGTTCTCCTATCTTGTCGGGTCCTCTCATCATACCCAGACCGGCCACAGTCTGTTAGACCATTCCCCAGGCCTCTCGCCCATCTGGTGGTCAAGTCCCGGAGACAAGGACCACTTCACAGGCAGCACAGAAATCTTCCACGAGAAAGTACCACATAAGCAAAGGGACACCCTTCGGATAACTTAGTCTTTTCTTGATGGCTCAAGGTCATTTTTATGAACAGCAACTACAGTGCTGGGCAATGCAGTCATGTCTGCAAGGTCAAATGAGCTGCGTATCCTATTAGAAAGTGATACTGCGGACTCTAGGAAAAACCATCCCCCAAATCAGAACGCGTAGGAGAAAATTGAGTTCATTTCCCAAAACCTTGGAAAGTGGCTTCGACAAAAATGGAAATTCATGGCAAACAGGGAGAGATTAGCGAGAAATAAAACAAGAATACAATACTAAAGTTCCTGGGGAGTATAGGGTAAAAAGAAAAAAAAAATTTATAAGAGGCTTTAAAGGAAATAAAAATGTGTCCAGCCGGTGTGGCTCAGTGGTTGAGCGTCGACCCTGCACCAAGAGGTCGCCACTTTGATTCCCAGTCAGGGCACATGCCAGGTTGTGGGCCCGATCCCCAGTAAGGGGCATGCAGTAGGCGGCCAATCGATGTTCTCTCTCATCGATGTTTCTATCTCTCTCCCTCTCCCTTCTTCTCTCTAAAAATCAATAAAGAAAAAAAAAATTTTTTTTTAAAAAAGAGTAAAAGGTTTAAAAAAAATAAATCAAAATGCATCTTGATATGAATAGGATAAGAATTTTAAAAAAGAAAATATAAAATACAGATAGATGAGTTATTTAATTTTTATCTAATTATAATATTTATTTATTTATTTATTCATTACAGAATAAATATTTATTCATTACATTTATTTATTCTGGCACTGTCAGAACTGTAGCCACGTTGGGGAACACAGTTAGGAGTGATTCAATAATGGTAACTAAATCTATGAATGGCTCTTCTATGAATGACTGTGTAAAGATTTTAAAATTCCTTCAAAAAATGGAATTGTCAAATTGCCACAGGAGACTTTTAGACCGCATTCAAAGAACCATTCTCGTTGCCTTTCTCGTGGTTACATTTCAGGGTTCTTCAGTGACAAAGAGAGAATGTCAAGACAGGGACCTTTCTCTGGGTGCCTTTGAAGGAATTCTTGAAGGAGGAACTGTCTTAATCATCGCTGAACACCCTCCCCACCCCCCTGCTCATCACTGAGCCTGGAATTTCGTGACCTGTGCTGGGCTGGGACAGACAGATGCAGGTCCCGCTCATGAGGAGTCCACAGTCTAACAGAGGAGACACAACGTGTCAACAAATAACACTACAGCCGAGGGTTTGGTGCGCCAGCCCTGGGTCAGAATGAGCACACCCACGGACACACACGCCCAGAGTTCCTGCTCAGGAAAGTCTGCGAATTCACAAAGGAGCAGACGCTGGGACTCTGCTGTGAAGGATGAGCAAACGACTCTATTCGGGTAAGAGCCTCTTCCCCAAGCTGCAGGAGACACAACATTCTTGTAAGGATTTCACCGTGAATGGATGAAAAGTATAGTGGTCCTGAGGGCTTTCATAAATCATGTATTTTCAGCGTATGTATGGAACTGTTTACGATGGAATCAGGTACCCTTCAGCCAGTGTCCTGTTGCAATAAATTGGTCTTGACATCCATGGATGCTAGCTAACCTTGATTTCGCTAAGTAACACTGGTTTGCTTGAAAAACAAAGCAACATCATTCTAAAAAACTTACTTGCTGGAGGAAACGTCTCTCATTTCCGAGCCCTCCCATCGAGTTGTTTAGTACATTGTTGTTGGCTATGATCACCCACCCCACCAAGTCTTTGATCCATAGGAGAGTCTACAGAGCTGCTGCCCTTGAAAATCCTTCCCTGGTGCTTTTACTACTCAATAAAGAAAGCATTTATCCAAAAAAAAAAGTGCTGCCCCAG